TTGTCTGTTTTATGGGTTTGTTCTATTGTTTGGTTTTTGTTTTTAATTATTTTTTATTTAATGCCTATTGGTGTAAGAACATGATACACCCTCAGAAAACCGAGCAAATATTTCTTAACCTATGGGATAGATAATTTTAAAGCAGAGTGCACAACATGCACCACAGCGTGCTCTAAAGTTCTGTTGGTTGTGCAACCACCAAACATCACTTTTACAAGGAGTAACTGAGATCAAGCAACTGGCCAACAGTCGGTGTGGAAGTAAATGCTGAGTAAGCAGAATTCTCCCTCCCCAAAAGACAAAAGCACCCTTTCCCCTCAGACTATGACACAGGACAGTTGCAGACGTACATCACTGCCAGCCAATACACTGCCCATTCCCGTCTTGCGTGTGCTAAGGCCATTAACATCCATCTTCTCTGTAGTCAGAGGCTGTGACAACAGAGGAAATCAGAAGTCAGGTAAATAATCCAGAGGACTCTCTAAAAATAAACCCAAAGAACCCCCCCAAATTTCTGTAAAAGGTAGTAGCAGGTAGACAGAATTCCCTTTGCAATAGCAACTGTATCACTGGGGTCATGCAGTCCCAGCAGCAGGCACCGTCAGAGGACTCCTTTCAGTTCTGTACCTCACAAAACACACACAGAGCAACGAAGCAAAAGACAAAATGAAATTTAAAAAGAAAACCAAACCACCAACACAAGTTGATACTGAAGAATGCCATATTGCACATCTCTTACTCCAGATGCAAACAGAAGCTGCACTACTGAGGTTTCTTCATAATCATTAAGGTGGAATACAGGGGGTATGAGCATTCGGATTTTTACTTTATACAAAAATGTAAGATTATGTATAAACGTCCAAAGCTTACCTCTTCTTCCAACACATCATGCTAGCAGAAATACAAGGATCCTATTGTTCCCTTCAGCTGCAGGGCAAGAATCCAACCCTCTCAAGGGACAAGCTGGCTGTCTCCAGGGGAAGCCACACAGACCAGTATGCTGCAGCTTCAAGAGGGACCAATCTTTTGGCTCAGCTGCCACAGAAACAGTAACCCACAGCTTCCTCATGAAAGTAAGCATTTAAGCCTGTAAAGCTTCAGCTTATCCAAGGTCAAGGAAACTTATGGAAAAAAAAATTAAATGAGGTCTAGCATTAGGAGACATTGGTGTATTTTCTGCCTAGGTACTGAACCTTTATCTGAACGTTTGTCACAAAACCGAATGCAAGAATCAATTCCAGTTTCAGAATTTTTGTTGCTTGCATTGTGCTGGACCTTGGTCACAGGTACGGTGCAACCATGGTCAGTTAATATCCAGTGTTAAAACCCTTATTTCATGAAGCTTGGTTCACTCACAACATTGCATCAGCTTTAGTTCGGTGCAACTCTAGTAGAGTTATTCTCATGTAAAATGGGAATAATAGCGGTAGGAACCGGGCTTATTCTCACCAATTCCTTGAAGACCACTTCTTCCAAGTAAAAGCCAGGCCCATAAGTAAAAGCTTCCAGTCTTCCTATAATTAAACTTAGGGTTGTAGTTCCTCCCAAGTTTGGCTTACTAGCTGTCCATCTGCTCTACTTTCTTTCACTGAGCAAAGTTGACATAGAAAAATGAACGTCACATCATTAGAGACTTCACTTTCATCTACCTACACTTCCCCCCGATTCCAGACGTCAGCAGCCAGCCACGACAAGAACAAATGCTCTACAGTCAGCCCACCTCGCTTGTCCCAAGCGGTGGAAAACTTCACGCATGCAAACACGAGCAGGTCTGCAGGATGTTCATACAGTGCTCTGGCTATGGCAGCCAGAACCCCAGCAAAGCCCCAGTAACAGTCACAGTTTGCCCGTACAGCTTAAAGCTAGGTGATGCAAATTACCAGGAGATACTTCTGAAGAATTGGCTTGCGCTAGTCCCTCTTGTCCTTTCCCTTCAACTTATTTTGTTTGCCGTTTATATTTTATAACAGGGAAAGGCAACAGACGTTATCTATTGAATGCCCATGTTTCCAGCAAAATAAGAGAGTCAAAGTCTAACACGAATTCAGATTAATACATGTTTGTGAGTACTAGTTAGGGGGAAAAAAAAAAACCTCACTGCACAGCCTATATTTGCATTTACCTCCCAAGACCCAGGCGCACATACTAAAATACCACTTCTACCATACAAATGAAAGGAACATAAAAAAGCCTTTACACTAGCAACATTCTTCATCCCTCAAACTGTCTCCTATACATAAATATTTGCGTTAAAGCTTTGAGAGACAAATACAAACTGTTAACCAAATACAAGTAGGCTTACAAGTAGGTTGGGTTGAAGCATGTATTGTCAAGGGACCCCATCCTGCTGTGTAACCCACTGATTCCCACGATTGCTGTTTGTCTCTGCCCAGTCTACAAAAGGTAGGTTTCTTGCAGTTTCACATGCACACATACATACATGTTGCTTTAACGAGCAGCGAGTGTTTAAGTTCTCAAATAAAAGGCACTTACAGTAACCTGGTACATAGATGCTTTATTTCTGACATTAATATGGTCTGTATTGTATGTGAGATTCTCTTACATGAAAGAAAAGTTTGTAGTACAACAAAAACTAAGATAAACAAGGCATTTGTTGCACGTTATGTCAAACCTTAAAACAAAAATATGGAGTAATATGTATTTAGGTTTCATGCAAGTTTGGCTGCTGCATGTACAATCTACTTATAAACTGAAAGAAATGCAAATGCACACAACATTCAAAAAAGTAATAAAAGATGCCTGACATATGAAAGATTAAAACCTTTCTGCTAAAGCAACAAAGTAGGAGTTAACTAAACGATCCAACCAATACCAACACAAATTAATACTACTTACCATAAATCTACGCTTGAACTTGGTATAGGCAGTTTTGGTGATACCACTTCTACTGAAATATATCATCCAGATTCTAGTATTCATGCTCTCTCAATGTCTTGTTTCATTTTTTGTGGATTAAATGCTGTCTCCAGCATTAAATATTGCTGTTAAATCCATTCTGGTAATGCACATCCAAATCTACTACTGCCAAGAATTCCAATTGCCTCCTCTCAATTTTCATAGGTGAGGAGTAATCCTGGCATGATGGGTATTTTCTGATCCCCTTGCTTATACAGGATTCCCCCCCGCTTAAAATTTTTATGTGAATTAAAAACTGCTAAAAATGTTTATGCCTACTACTATCATAGCCAGGCAAATATTTAATATGAAAAAGCTCTTAAAAATAAGGATTGTATAAGCTTTGAGATGTTTAAAAAAGTTGAATAACCCATTACCTTCCTTGTGCCACTCATCACGTTACAATTCTCCATTAATAAATTATTCTCTACCATCTTTGATATTGAAGTGACAGGAATACTTTCCACACCCTGCATAGTACTGGTTGATCTCATAAAGTTAACTAGAGAACCTGACATCATTTTTGTAATTTTACATACAGTGCATATGGTGCTCGCTCTTTCCATCTCTCATAGCAGCAAGCCGATTCTGCCACTATCTGTAGCAGCACACCCGGGAGTGGAGAGGAAGAGTGTTTGAATTATAAATAAAACTACAGTGTACAATTCTATTTACCTGTCAGTATGTGTCAGCAAGCACACCATTATAACTTGCTCGAAATTAACTACATAAAAATCTCTACAACAAAAGCAAACCAAAACATTCCTTTAAAAAAAAAAAAGACATAAAATAAGTGCAAATACCTAAAATAGGCAACTAAAGCAACTGTTGTGACCTGTATACCTTTAAATAAGGACAAAGATTTTTCATAAATAAAAGAATGTTCTCTTTGCTCTTCAAACATTCAGTAAGTATATAATGGTCAAACTTAAGTGCAGATAAAATTGTTTTGAGATCCAAGGTGCCAAGTTTCTTTCTTTTTTTTTTTTTTTTTAAATATTTAAAATGCATTAGTTTTTAGTTCCTATGCAGGACAAAGTACTCCTGGGTCACATATAGGACCCCACCATTCCTTTCTAAATATATTTAAACAAGGTACAGGAACAGTTGCTGTATAATACAGGTATACCTTGTAATTATTTCGTAGACCAACATGATTTAAGGGTTATAGTGCAATCTTTATGTAGATGTAACATACAGTATAGATTTGTACACTTCACCACTGTAATTCTTCTGCTATTCCATACTTTAAACTTGTCCTTTTTTCATTTTAGCTGTTTTAACAGGAAACAACGTTGGCTTCTAAACAACCTGCATACATATAAATATCTACATTTAAGCTTTAAAATGAAAATAAATTATAAAACCAGACTCCTTTCCAATTTACAAAATTTTCCATGTTCCTACATACTGTACAATACATTCAACAATCATCTCATTTTGAGATTTATGAAGAAAATACTGATGCTTTACACTAAAACCTAATTCACCCCCCTCTACTGCCTACTTCTAGTACCATTTGCAAATAAATATATTTAACACTGTAGTTAATTTCATTGTTTTGCAGCATACCAAAAAAATTAGTAGTGCAACTTTCTATCCTTCCTTTATACTCCTTTTTCCATTGTGTTTCTTTATATACTAGGAAAATGCTACATAAGCAAAAGCACATTCAGTCATGTATGTTGCTCATTTGGAAACCAGTAACAACCTATAAACCTACTCTATATTGAAAATGCACTAACAGAAAAAAAGCAATGCAAGTCAAAAGAATAAATATGAAAAATAGACCTAAAAACTGTATGTTGTCAGTACTGCAATGTATTTCACTATTCTTTATCATATTTTAGGGTGTTACTTTCTTAATATTTAAGAAATTCATTGCAGAACTGTTTGTACTATCCCTTCGTAGAGAATACAGAGCTTCATGTCTGTTCTTTGTCAGTCAAAAGAAGAAAGCAAGCTTTAAGGTAGCTTTAAGGTTTCCCTTGGCAGACTGTCTCAAAGTAAAGACTTAATTCACAAGTATTGTGCTGGAATCGCCTTCAACATTGTGTCAGTTTCAATGTCAGTTGCAGTGACCATCACAGTATCAGAGCCCTCGAAGTGCTGTTGGTAGCTGTGTATGTGCTCAGATATCTTCTTGCTTGTTCAGTCATGATAAGCTGGTCTTCTGTTTTTCCGTAAACAACTGCTTCCCACTCACAATTTGACTGCATAAAATAAAATTCAGTTAAAAAGATTCTTTTAACTAAAATACTTGAGCAATAACTTGAGCAATTCTCGTACAACCTTTCAGAGTAATAATAAATTATCGAAGTCTAGCAATACTGTGTTTTACTGAGGATTCAGTTCTACAATACAATACCTAAAACCTGTGACAAAGCTCCCTCTCCACCCCTTAATCCAGCTCCCCAGCAGTGCATCTGTGTTACGCTTTAAGTTCTAACACACAAAATGAAAAACACTCTTAAAAAGAGACTAGTTCAACAATTGATACATAAAAGGGAAGTTAATTAAGTCATCTTCTCTTTGGATATCTTCCCCTTTAAATGTGCTAAGTTCAACAGGCAGAAAAATACGTTATTGGCAGCTGTCTGGAGACACCAAGGAAGGCAAAATGGTTTGGCAGCTGAAAAAGAATATTGTGAAGGACTTCACTGAACCAAAGCGGCAGCTGTGGAAGAACGGTCAGATGTTTTGGGAATATATTAGAAATGGCAAAGGAATTAGGAATAAAAGTAATGAATGGAAGAATAATCGAGCCACTAGTCCTGCTACTTCCATGAAGCAAACCCTGCACATTTACAGGATTTATTGAATCTCAAGCTGATTTGTAGCAGCTCTAGATTGGACCTGACACCAGCAGATTGTAGCATAATGAAGAATGCAAGATTCTCTCCCTCCCACATTGAGCTAGAAACGGATCCAAAGGATCAGTTCCACATATAGATGCACAGAGAAAATTAGCCATTTGAGTTTCTCTAAAATTTAGCAGGACTTGATTCATGGAAGGGACTCGTGGTTTAGAGAGGCCACTAAACTGAGAGGGAATTTCTCTGGGGAAAGAGCAAAAAGGGAAAGATGGTTCAATGAGAATATTTTTGAGTATAGTATGACTAAGCTCCCCTTTTAAGTATTCTTAAGAGCATAGTTCTGGGCCAGATAGATGTATTCACCTTTGCTGCAATTCACAGCAGTTGATTCTTTTTTTGGAATATCACAATTAAATGAGGTTTGTTCTTTCTTCTCATAAGAAAGGATCAGAAAGTAATACTGTTGTCTCTGTACTTACAAACACATCATCGTTAAAGCAATTAAGTGGGACATGGAAGATCAGGCTCCAGGTGCCCTGCCTTTTTTTTTTTTAAATTTAAATTAATACAGAGCTGTAGATATTCTGAGAAGACACAAAAACCTTATACACTAACTCCCTATGGGGCAAACTGGAACAGGTACCAAGTCAGGTCAAAGAGAATCTCTCTCTAAACCTAGTGGTCAAGACTCACACAGAGGAAAAAGTAGGTTCCACAGTTTTAACAGTATGGAAAATATGCGGATGTACAAGAACAAGCACGTTACAAGAACAATTACCAAACAGAACCTGTAGATGAACTCTCCTTAGTGAATCCCACTGGGCTTATTATGAAGTAAGCACCAGCCAAATTTGAGAAACTTAGATGCTATACAGGTTTAGTTTGCACCAACTCAAGTTTTCTTACTGCTAGACTTGGGTACCCAAAACTGTTTTGTAGGTCTACCCTACCCTGATTTTTTTTCCCCACGTTTAAATCTTAGAGGCCACTCAGTGAAACATCAGGGTTGCATTTAAAGAACTTAGCTATGAATAAACACTTCATGGACAAATGACCAGCTTACAAGGAATAAGGATCATGGAAACACTGACCGAAACTAGATCACTGAATTGAACGTTATTCTAGACATTAGTACAAGACAGAAACCAAAAAAGAAATTCTTTGTTAACCTGCTAACAAAACTAACAGAATTCTTTGCATCCAGACCTGAAGAGCTTTCTCCATTTTGACATTTTTTGAAGCACATGCATTCAGTTTCTTCTTAATTACTGCATTTGCTTTGTTTGCTGGATTTGTATCCTGGTTTTCTGATTTCAGGTTACATCACTTGTCATATATTTCCAACAATGGTATCATTAATAAAGATGTGGTGTATGCATTTTCTGACTATTGACAAAAAAGAGGGTAGGGAACAGGAATAATAATTAGTATTCAATTAAAAAAAAAAAAAAAAAAGTCTTCAACCGCTGTGGTCAGAGAAGCCAAAATGTAAACAAAGCAAATACTATCAGAAAGACCCTAGGAAAGAATCTGAAAAGAAAAAGTAATGAACAGTATATGAAGAACTGGCCTGGTCTATACTGGGATTCACAGTCAATGCTAAGCACAGTAAAACAAGTAGCTACTAGCATGATTTGAGCATTACTGAGTAGACTGTTTCCTTCATATAAAGCCACGCTAGAGCTGATTACATCTTGTTAAGAACAAGACCTGATAAAGTGGTAACTACAGAACAGTTTTAGAGAAAAAAGCTTGTAATTCACCTCTAGTACAACCCTTGTGAAAGTAAGCACAAGGAGACTGGAGTAAAAAAAAAAAAAATTAAGATCACATCAGTATGAGGGGGAGGAACTGCTTTAAGAACTGAAATAAGCACTGGATTGATCATTCCAGAAGAGTTTTATATGCTGATAACGTTTATGGAAATAAAAAGAAACTAATCCAGCTTCACTATAGCAAAGCAGAAGAAAGGTATATGGCAATTTTAGAGAGCGAAATTAGATGAGAGTAACAGTGGCATATGTACTTGTTCGCTTACAAAAACATCCCATTAAACCGCACTAAACTACCTTTACATATTTATTCTATGTCAGACGTTACTCCTAACTTACCGCCACATGGGCACACAATTTCTACTTAAGGATTGGTACATTCTTCATTTTTAAATCAGATACTACCACTATCTCTCTTGCTAAGAGCGAATGTTCCTGTTGCACCAGCATCCCTCATTAAAATGGAGAAAAAGCAATTTTTTCCCAGTCCGCTGCCTTTAATATACCACAACATCACAGTGTATCTTGGTTTTAGCTTAATAACCTGAACATCAGTGATGCACAACATACCATGTCACAACAAGACATTACTAAGAGAACACCAGACATTTTGTTTCTGTTTTGAATGGCTGCAGCAACGCTGCTCCTCACAAGACAAAGATGTTCTTGGGGAAGGGGGGAGTTTCCACTAGGTGGCAGAGCACCTAACACCCAGCAGACAGACACCAAGGCTTGGCACAGAGTCCACGAGGCATTTAAGAAGGGAATTTAGAAAACCAGCTACAATAATCAGAAAGGGGTATGACTTAAGCACCTGTCCTTTTTAGGGACTTTGGCTCCTACCTCTTGAATATAGCTTTATACCTGATCAAGAGTCATGGACATTTGCTCTTTCAGAATTAAACACATACACACATTAATTTAAGAACTAGATTAGAATAAAGTTTTCTTACAAACTACAAGACTAAAGATTAATCTATACAATCACTCAACTGGAAAAATATTGGGCTACTTTCTAAAGGAATGAGGGACCAAAACAGCCCCATCTCTGAACTCTTGATGTCTTGGTTGTTGAGGCAGAAGTATCCAAATTCCTTCAGGCAGAGGAAGCCTACAAACCTCATCTTTTATGTGCTTGATATTTCTTAAAGTATTCCCCTACTATGTGAAACGGGAAAAGGAAAAACATGCTGCCTAATGTGCAATTAGGTATCTGCAGAACATGTCTGCCAGACTGTCAAGCACGCAAAACACGGGCAAATGCCATCTTCCTGGTGTATTACAGAGAATTCCAGTGTGCCATATATGCTGAAGTTTATAGGTAACCAGCATGGAAGCAGCTTTGCTATAACAGGAAAACTGCAAAGCATCCACATTACTTAACCAGTCCTGCTCTGAAGGCCTGAAAGGAAGAATTCATGCATGAATTCAAGCCCAATGTTCAAGTATTGCTTAAGTACTTAAAGTAGTATTTCAAACTGAAGATGATTTTCACCTTCTAGATTTACTCATCTAGCCTCAATCCAAACACTTCATTTTAGTTGATAGAATGGAAGATACTCAGTTCTATATTAATATTGCTGCCAGTGCCGCTCTTCAGTAGTTTAATACTTACCTGTACATCTAAACTATTATCTTCTGTGAAGAGCTGGGCACCAACCTCTTCTTTTTCCCATGGATCTAGGACCAGTGATTTTCTGACTTTTTTAGAAGAGTTGTGCTGCAATAAACATTTTGCAGAGAAAAATTGTAAAATGCTATTTAAAAGCAGTTATTTCCTATCTGAAATTATTATTGTAATGGTACCTCCTGCTTGCAGCTTTTATACACAGTGTCATCTTCCTCCTTGAGAAATATATCTGTTCCAGTTTCCTCTTTCAAAACTTCCCTAATGTCTTCTTCCAAGAAGGCAAGTGGTTGTGACTAAATTAATTAAAATTGGAGGAGAAAATATAGGAAGTCTGTTAGTTGCTAGTTTTTACCATATTCTACTTTCAGCTAATGTAGGCCAGAAGAGAGATCTTGCAAAATATAGCAACAGATAAAAGGATTTAAGCTATTGTAGTTAATAATTACAGATCAACATTTCAAGGCTATGCAGATTTTTTAACTCATTTTACTCCACATTATTTCTAGACAGATAAAACACATACACGCACACAGTGCCTCAAAAAATGCAAGGTATCATTGAAGAAGACATGCAAACTACTTGTTTGCATTTATTAGCAATGGTTATCCACTGACAAAAGGGATAAAAATACTTTATATATACTAAACACATACATAAACACATATGTATATATACAGGCATACAAACATATTAAAAAACTGTATTATAAAAGTATGACTGTTGTTGGGAAAGGAATTTATATCATTCAACACAAATCTTTTAATAAGACATTGATAGTCCTAAGTACAGTACAGAATTTCACAGAAGCCATACAGATGGCTCCTTTGTGTACCAACAGGAGAAGAATTCCCTTAAGCCCTCAAAATTTGATTTTGAACAGGAGGTTAATAGTGGACAGAAACAGGAATGCCAAACCACTCCATTTGCATAGTGAGAGACTGTGAATCTATAGGGTAACACAGATGGTGCCAAGCCCTGTGGCAAAGTCTGAGCTACCTTCTGTGTTTGCAGAAAAGAAGTAGTCAATATATGTTGGCTGGAATTTTTTCAGAACTTGAAAAGCATATGTCTACTGAATTCCGAAAGTTATTATGCATTAACATACCTTAGCTAGGCTAGGAAGAGAGCAAAAATTGAATTCATTTGGAACAAACAAAAAAGTAACATTATCTGTAGTCAACAAAAAAAAAAGTCTTCTGTGACAGCCAGAAGAATCAGAGGAATCATGAATTGCTATATTAAGATTTTGGTTTTTAGGATGAAGAAAGTTGTAGACGTCATTCAAGTAAGCCCCTAGGAAGGATAAAACACTTCCAAACATCTTCCCATCAAAAAAATTCTCAGAATACTAGTATGCTGTGGTAAACATCTAGTTTCAGTCCTAGCACTGTAGAAGAACCAAAACCAGAAAACAACTCAGCTCTTACATAGTCCAGAGGATTCAAAGATAATGCAGTTTTTCAAGTAAAATGTGAACGTTGCTTAAAATAATGAAGTCAGTCACATTCATCTGCACCAGTTCGCCCTTACTAGATTATCCAGTTGAAGGACCCACACCCACTCACTTTCTCACTTACAATTTTTCTTTTGAAAAAACAGGACACTAAAGTATTAAAATTAAAATCTCAGACAGTGATGTTACCACCTCGTAAGAGGTACAGTGTGTTAGCAAGGCTACACAAGTTTAAAACAACTCATAAACGCAGAACCAATGCGCTTAAGATTACTATGGATCAAATGATTATATGTACCGAACACCATTCAAGAAGACAATGCCTCCATACTACACTGAAGGATACTAGTCTAACATACAAAATCTAAAACGTTTTTGATTCACATTCTAGCTGTTCTCTAGGATAATATGGAATGTCACTGAAACAACAGCAGTTAGAAAATGCTTTCTAAGATCATGCTGAGGCTTACAATCTCAAAAACAAGAAAATAAACAATGTCATCACATACCGTAAGTTTGAGGGGACCATACTTTTTTTCCTGAGCAGCCAAAGCATTTTTAAAAGGAGTTGGCGTCCTTGGTGTTGAACCCAAAAGAGATCTTCTAATTGTGGGAGTTCTAAAACTATTCAAGCATAGAAAAGTGTTCATACATGCATTTTAATATTTTATTTTATCAACAGTAATGTAATAAAATAAATCTAAGAAACATTTTAAAATACCTTAATTTACACAACAGATATCACCACCATGACTCTGAAAGTATTAAGATCACCATAGCATTACTCCAGGTATAATAAACTTTAATTGGATTTTGTTCAATATTTTAAAAAAGGAAAAATTTTAACTGAGTACAAGTCACTTTCTGTTAAGTTAAAAACAGGAAGCCAGTTTGTTTGTACGCAAGCATTTAAGTGTTAGGGGTTTTAAAACTCATTCACAGTATGCATACAGGTAGACTAAATTATCAATGTTTAGAAAAACTTGGTTTTATTTGAGCAACACCACCAGATGTTTAATGTAATAATCCTACCCCACGTTTTCCTTTTGATCTTTTGGTGTCATTTCCTTGTGTAGAGGAGTCGTAATAAGAACTTTCTGCCCACAGATTGGAGTCGATGTAAATGCAGGATTTTCAAGGTTAAATTGTTCATTTCCAGAACAAGTGTTGAAAAACTAAGTGCAAGAGAGAAAAAAACCTAAGCAACCTTAAAGGACAAAACTTCACCACTGTACTGAGCAGAAAAAAAATTACATGTATATATCTGAAGGGCTTTTACTGACAAACCCCAATAAACTATTCTTGACTTCTACTCCAAGACGTTTGTGATATTTATCGCTGAAACCTTGATTTTTCTCCTTAAAATCCCTACTGCTTAATTAGGTCACAGAAACAATAGGTCTTTATCAACAATTATTTGCATGAGAAAGTGTGAGCTAAGACATAAGTTGCCACCCCCCTCCTCCAGTTAGTCTTCAAAACAGAGGAAATAGGTTATTTAGCAATTTCTTTTTAATGTATCTACCCTCATGCAGATGTTTTAAGAAGTTTTTGGACATATTTGTTTAGGCTACAATGTATGACTAGGGAAGAAAGTACTTGTAATTTATAATCCACCCACTGCAGTCTTCAAAGTTTAGCCATATTTAAAAATAAAAACTCACCTGTGATGGAGAAAATGGTAGTGTTTTCACTGGTGTATGCTTTAGTGCAACATTGGTGGCATCATTACACAAGCCATCATTCAGTTCATTAACTGGTGATTGCCCAACACGCAATCTCTTTTTCTTTCTTAGGATAGTAGGTGGAGTGCTGAATTTAGTTAAGTTTGGGGTTGTTGGAAAAACTGCTTCTTCCTCGCCACTGATGCTACTGTGTTTTTTGCCATCAAGCACAACGCTGACATTATACTGGCACTCAGCAGCCCCTTCATTGTGCTGAATCCGCATTAGTTTTACTGGAGCTGGCTTGACAGGTGATGCAACAGCCTCTGAAAGCTCAAAACTGGTGACATCACTCCACGCTACAGGATCCTACGAGGCAAGATGCAAAACACTCAAACACTAGCAGGCTTATCCAAGATTATTCCACAACATCCAAGCCAGTCTAACAGCTCTCTACCTCCAGAAGCCATATACTGAATTATTCTCCCTGTATCTTTCACACAATCCTAAATCACTGAATATTTTGAAACAATTCTTTTAAAACAGGCAAAAAAACAAACCGCTCAATATGGGTGAAACTACAGACAAGTACAGAATAAGGTAACTTTAAGAGAATTTTACACATATTGTGTAAGTTGATGTTCCTAAATAAACATTTTTTTAGAACAAATACAGACTTACAGATTCAATAAGCTCTAGCGTCTCTGCAAATTCTGGAATGGTCTGTAGAGATGATAACAACGTATTTGCTTCCACAGCCAAATACTTAGGTGGTGAATTCTGCTGAACAGATGTGCCGTGGGTCTCATCCATGCTGTAGAACTCACTTGTTTGTTCCCCAAGGCTATTTAGTGTATTAGACACACAATCTTCCATGACAAAACTTCCAGACCAACAAGGTAAGGTTCCAGCTTGCTAAAAAGTATGAAGAAACATGTTAATCTTATTCAACTTAGAAACTGAAGAGTCAATTATGTGACCATGGGGAGGAAAAAAAAAAAAGTAGTATGTGGAAAGACTAAGCGTAACTATTTTTTTTTTTTAAACACTAATTATCTGTTTGCATTAATGCAGTTAGTCTTCTCCTTACTTTAACATACTCAACATTCTCAAATCGTGTAAGATTTTGATCTTACCTCTCATTCATATCTTATACATGCTTATAACTTAGATAATTATGGGTTGTATTGGAAGCCATCTCTGATGCAAGTTTCCTGTGTTCCTGAACATCAGTATATTACGAAGTCATCTTCACTACAGAACACAGGTACATTTTAAGATTAGAAACTGTTTCTAGAATGTGAAATACTTCTTGTTTGAGCCGATTTTTTTTTTTTAAACACAGATTCTGCATTGATAGTTTACTTAACTTCTAAATGGTTATTGCGTTTTAGTACACTGCTTAGTACTCAAGAAACAGATTTTAACTTTCACTGGAAATCAGAAGCAAAGCAGATTCCACTAGATAAGCAGAACGTTGCACTGTTTCAAGAGAATGCCAGGAATAGCTCCACCACAAAAAACTGGAAGTTCACCTGTAATCTAAATTAGTGATCAATATGGTTGGGTTGGTTAAGTGTCTGATGTTCTTCACAGCCCTCTGATCCTGAGGAAATGAGTGACTACCATCTGCAAGTTCCCCATTGAAGTACATGTAAATTTTGTACAGTGCAAATTTATATACTGTCACGTCCAAATGTGGATATCAAGTATTGCAAGCACTCACACAGAAGTTTGATAAAAATATAATCTACAGAACGTTTTGAGATTAAACAGAGCAAGATCTATGTATTTTTCACCTTTCTCTGTTGAACAGATGATCGACATTGCTGATCTATAAAACTGAATGGTGGTGATATCAACAAACGTGCTACTTCTTGAAGAGGATTAAAATCCTGGGTCTTAGGAACAACTGCCAAATTGCAGATCATATTTCTGCTGTTTTCACAGTTTAGAAAACGGCACGAAAAATCATTTGCCTCAATTCTAATATGTAACTTTGTTTTACAACCCAACAGCCATGTTTGATTTTAGAAGGTCGGGTGACAAAACACCACACAAAACCAAACATCCATTACTAAATTGCTGAGGATTAATCTCAGTAAGGCATATTCAAATATTTACAGAAATTTACAGTCCTTACAGAAGACACTCGTTTTCTTCTGATTTCATTCTCTGCTGACATAAGTAGCAATTCAAGTTCCTTTATTTTCTTTTCTTTATCAGGATCATCATCAATAAATGACTGCTGAAAAATTTAAGAAAGAAGCCATTACTATTTTCCACCTCCGCCACCCCTCCAGAGTAAAGATTCTACATTATAACACAGCTACATTTTTAGCAGAAATCCACACATAGCGGGAACAGAGCTGTTCAAGCTATATCATATTTTGTAATACAGTTTCGCAAGCGAAACAACTCCAGCAATTACCAGGAGGTGGATCTGATGTTAAAGTGGTATACAAGCTAATACTTTAACAGGTTTCTAATATGGCCTGTACATGCTCAGTACGCTACAGCACTTTTCAACCAAAAGTCACTCAGTCCTCTTTAATAGAAGCAACACTGTTGGCACCTTGGTAGATGTGTTTCTGTTTTCATGTGCTTTCTAGAATTTTGAGTTATTTATCCTCACTAAGTGTGCAAGAAAGTGTTTCAAATCAGCATTTGCTGACAGAGTGTCTACACAAGCAATCCTACCGCTACTATCAGAAAAGAAAATTAACCAATTGGTTGGTTTGTTTTTAACCTCCTTAAAACTTCCTATTATTGCTATAAATATAGGTAAGTGACGATATATGCCATGAGTTTCAAAACTATTTATACTCCCCAGTTTAGGGAGGACTTCAAGGAGCAGAAAGTATCTTATACTTTTCTGTACAGGGCAATCCAGATTGTCAAAGGCCAGACAAGGCTTTGTTACGATTTGTATTCTTATACTGAGATCAGGGAAGAAAATGCAATATGAAACAGATGACCTGCACAGGGAAATTTAAGGTTAGGTACAGAGTTCTGCAGAACATCTCTAATGCATCTAGCACAAACAAAATATGTATTATTTCCTGTGTCAAAATATTTTTTTTTACTAATTTCAAAATCACAGAAATTCTTCCAGGAAGTCGTATTACAAACCAAGATCTACATTCAGTCTGCAACACATGAGGAATTTCAGATATATTCTAAGTGAGTCCAAAGGTGCAAAAGGAAATAAATATATCCAATTTTTTTTTTGTTTTAAAGTTTCTCAATACTTCAGCATTTAGAATGTTGCAAAAGAGCATCTTCAACTGATTGACAGAAGTTTATCAGTCAGAACTAAAACCTATTGAGAACAAAAAAAGCACAGACATAAGCATAAGTCACAGCAAGTTATTTGAACGGAGTCTTTCAGATAGGGTTATATTTATTACCTATATAAAGTAGTAAAATCTTGTCCTTAAATCTCTCAGAAGCTAGGTACTACTAACAGGTCATAATTTTAACCTAAAGATTTAACTAGTAGACTATGTTTTAAGCCATACTTCTGTCAGAAATAAGCACAACCGCTGTGTTTCTGGGATGTATAAAGACAGCTCCTTTTTTCCTACCTAGAACTACCAATTAAGCTAGCAAGCCTACTTACAGAGGAACACTTACATAAATTTAGGTGCATGATAAAGACTTAAAGAGACTTTGAAGTTACAGGTTTTTAAACTCTTCATTTTACAGCATAATACACAGTACATTCTCTTCGTTTACAATGCCCGTTAACAATTTACCTGAACTAAGTTGGAAGAAGCTGAAGCATGTTCTAGACAGCTGCCTTCTGGTGAGGCATACTGGTATGCTGGAATCTAAAAAGACATAAATCATTTTACAAACCCTAAAGAAAAGGAGGCTATAAAATTATCTCTAGTTTATTGTACATAAACTATTTATTATGGTTTACAAATCCTAAGTTACCATAATATCACAAAAATACTCAACAGATCTTCATTCTTTCAGATTTGTTTCTCATTCCAAACCCAACAAATTATTTGAAACTGGGAATTACTAATTATTCTGGATTTTGAACTTACATGTGTCTGAACAGGTATGTAAAATTGATTCTGAGTGTGCAAGTGTTCCATAGTCAGACCAGGTTGGGGCTGAAGTTTGGATGAACTAGCTCTTTCAGACTTTATACCATCTTGTAAATATCCTTCCTGTTCCACCTTTCTTCGCATTGTTGAATTCCAGTGATTTTTAATCGAATTATCAGTCCTAAAATGAAAGTGTACAACAGTGACTGGTTTCCATATCTCAAAGTTTAATATATGGCATAATTTACAGGGTTTGTACAGTAGGTTAATCCGCAGCCATAAATTGAGAAAGCTCCAGCAGCTTGGACTGAAAGTTCTATTATCAGCAGGGTTTTAGCATAATGACTAGAAAGGTACTCTTTTCAAAACTTCCTTCTACTAAACTTCAAGTCTGCAGGAAATTAAAAGTAGCAAAAGAGAAAGCCTTGGTTCTGGCTGTTATCATGGGCGAGAACCTTTTTTCTTGGATACTTGGAACAACCATGTGTTCTCTGTCACTACATTATTTACCCTCTGCTACATATTCGCAGAACATGAAGCCAAGGCAATCAGCCTACTGTCCCACAGCATAATATGGGCACTGTGGCTAGTGTTTGCCACTGGAAGACATCTCTTCTAAAAAAAATGACAGCCTGCATTCCCAGCTCTGAGTTTTATGTGCAGCTTTGTGAAAGAACATCCCACTACCTCTTGGTGCCCTTGATCTTGTATGGGGAAAGCAAGCATGGCAGAAGACCAGCACCCATTGTCATTCCCCTTGGAAAGAAAATGCCTGCAATTTGACAAGCAGGCTGAAGTCACTTTTAACACTAGACAAGCATTAAGGCAAGAGTATGAATGCATCACAGTCTAAAATACTAGCAATATTATTACTAGCCTTAGAGAGAGAGGTACACAGAAATAAAAGTTGCTTTAAGCCTCATTCTTCATTTAAGCTCAACTGCAAGAATTATTCCCCTTTTTCATCCCACTAGTGTTAGAGACTCTTTACAAATCTTCTAGGTCTAGGATCCAATCTTTAGCTAAGAGTCTCATCTTGGATTTATTTTCAACAAGTAAGTTAGTGAATTAGGAATGCCTCTGTCCTTACAAATTCATCTTCCCTCTCTGAAATTCTTAAGATGCAATTCATTCCCTTCCCATTCCTCCAAAGGATGTCCTGTGATTCATGGATTGTGTACTTAATCAAAATGTCAAATTTTTAAACACACATCTCTAAGGACTCATTCTCCCAACATAACAAGTGCTGACATTCCTTAGGCACAACTAGACAGTCACCTCCTGAACACACAGACTGAATTCAGAGAGGGACAGCTTAACATTGAATTTCAATTAACAGTACAAGGTAAAAAATTTATTTCATTAAACTCTTTATACACTAAAGTTTTGTTTTCCACAAGCATATAAGTTGGCAATCACACCTGAAACAAAGATAAGGAGAACAATGGATACAATTCATTCTTAACTTAGAGACTACATGGTAACCAGCTAGCTTTGCAATGCATGACTCCTAAGCCTGGACTTTTGAAGGTTACCAAGATTCTCTTTTTCGAGTGTCCTGTTTAACAAGAAGTGTTCCACAAAAAATAAAGAATTGCTGATCTTAAACCAAAAAGTCACCACCAAATGCATATTAATGAAGGCACTTTGATATCAAGTCATAGGATGTTAAGGCATTCTTCCACTATTACTTGCAGTTACTCTTCAGCTCTACCACAGTTTTTTCTAAGTGAACAGGAGGATTTTTGAAGGAACCTGCAGAGTGTTGGAGGTCTTTTTATTGGTTTTATGGCTTTTTAAGAATACATAATCGAATGCAAAAGATCTTAAAAAATTTCAGTATCTATCAAGATAAAGATGTTGTGACACAAGTTTCAACAGATGCTTTCTGACTAACAAATTACATTGGAAAGAGTTGTGCGATCACCGCTTTCCATATTCCAATATTTAACACAAATAGAGTTGAAAAGCACCTTCCAGGAAGAAGTTTTGCTATTTCAGCCCATCGGTTTCCCAAACGCTTGTGAGCTTCATAGATTATTCTGTCCTCTTCTTCTGTCCACGAAGACTTCTTTACCTCAGGATTGAGATGGTTATGCCATCTCTCTCTGCATTGCTTGCCTATTCTTCCTTTCAAGTGTTTTGCAATTAGAGACCAGCGCTTTGGACCATACTTCTGAACTAATTCAATAACCTGGAACACAGATGAAAGCATGTTATAATTCCAAACCCTAATTTTCCTAATCAAAGACTGAGAACACTGATAAACTCACATTTTAGAATAGGATTACAATAGTCAACTTGGTAAGATACTAGGCCCTAAGGAGGCAGACAGTGACTTGGGGTTTTAAAAATTGTTTTTCAAGAAAGCAAAAAATTGCTTATTAGCTCCAAATTCACTGTGTTTAGAATATAAGTATATACTAATGAAAACATTCATTTGGAAGTTTCCTTTCTGTCACCCATTGCATAAGCTGACATTAGGAAAGACCAAAAAAGAAACTGGTAAAGAGGCTTGGTTTGACTTTTTTCAACAACATACGTATGAGAAAAAACCCACACTTCTACTCCCAACCTTCATCCCATTTCTACGTGTTTTTACACATTAGAAGCTTTTTCTTAAAAGACTGATGAGAACTGTAAAAAATAGGTTAGGAAGACCATATTCACAAGTTGACAAATACTAGTTTTAAACATCTTAGAACAGTTTTAAACAGTGGGAATAAGCAGTCGATTTGAAATATCATATGTGAAAGCTGTATGTCCACCTTCCTACAGGGCAGTCCAGGTTTTGCAGGCAAAACGCTACAGTGTGGGTTAACAGAGATGGGGAAAAAGGAGTCTAACACACCATTGCTAGCTTCTTTAACAGTAGAGTATGAAATAATTTCCCTTATTCCCAAACCGTTTAAGTCTGGTGGGTTTGAGAAATAAAAGATGTGAATAAGACCTTTGATCTTTAGTGCTGTAAAGAGATCTCCTCTACTTGGTAAGCTAGAGTAGTTCAGCTAGCAATCCGAGCAAAGGGAAATGAAACGCTTGAGCAGACCAGACATTCCATCTACTTAAGAGTAGCTGCATTTTTTTTTCTTCTCACACAGTGTAATGTAATGTAATTATCTATGTGACAAGATGCATCAGACATCATCTTTGTGGGGATGAAACCTAAGAAAAAGTACACATTCTTAGCAGTCATATGCCAATTTTATTACAGTAAAAGAGTACAGTATCAATTAGTTTTTATTACCCTCTGATCTTCTTCTTTAGTCCAGGGACCTTTAATCAGTTCCGGGTTTAGTACCTTCTGCCATCGATGCTGGCACTGAAAATCTGAACGATTCTGAAATAGTTTTAGAAGACCGGTGTAGCTGTTAAACTCTTGAATACATAAAACTGTAAATATTAGCTAGCCAGAATTATTAGCTTATTTCAAATTAAAAGACTTATTCAGACCTTTAAGTATAATAGTTAAGTTCTCCCTTATTATTTCTTCTTCCATTTGCTTATAAAAACTCTAATACAGAAAAAACAGCCTTGCACAAAGCTCTAATCTAATTACTTCACCGTTCTTACTTGACAATCAAATTCAGAACTTACTCTTCTTTAAAGAAAAACTTAGAATTATTTTTGTCCTCATTATTCCACACCTTCTCTGAACTTTATGTGATTGACATGATTTTGACATTTTCTATAACCTATACAAGGAAATAAATTTTTAAAGGAAACACTTTTTCTTTCAAATAAAAGAATAAACTTTTTTCTAAGTCTCAAATGAATATATTCTCAGCTCTTTACTACCATGTAAGGAAAACAGATTTATATCAAGTTTAGCTAACACATACTAATTAAACAACATTGCTTTTTCTGCTCAGGACAGATGGTGCTTTTCTGTAGCTTCACTAAGGATCTTTTGAAATATTGTTCCCAGTTATGAAAGGGAAGTAAGCTTTCACTCAGCCTCCTAAAAACTGTCTGTAGGAAAGTTTGGGACTCTCAGGGTAGCTGGTCGAAACCTTAGAAATATGCAGATAAGAGCCTGCCCCAGCACAGCATACTAGCACGCCTTTTGTAACACTGGGACATGATGATTTACTCTCTTCAGTGCAAGCTGATGGATAGCAAGTACCGATTTCAGGGTTCTGCTGGGCTTGTCTACCAAGCAAAGGTGTTACCACACTAAGATGAAGTTAAACAAGAAGCAGTCTGCAAGACCAGGGGAAAAAAAAGAAAACCAAACACCACTGTTACATCTAAAATTACATTGATCACAGTACCTTCAAGTTAATCACAAGTGGACACCATATGATTAACAGCACACTAGAGTTTGTTACAAAACATTATCATTTCCTGGTGGAGATAAGCTGTAAAAGACAGACTCAATATAGGACAGCTGTTCCCATTTTCAATGAAAGAAAAATTTTGAAGTTGGCCTTTTAGTGTTTTTACCTTCCAGACATTTCTCATGACATATTTGGGGGAGAAAAGCAAAGCAAATGATGGGATGAAACAATAAAATCGTTTCAGGTCTGCCCTAGCTGCAATAAATTGAAAGAGAATACAAGCTGCGTTCCCTCTCTTGAGAGTCACCTTTAAGCCATCTTCACTTTTTTGGGCAGAATAGAGGGAAGGTTTTCTTGTGCCCAGCCCAATAGTGAAATGGGGTTCTGAAAACATGGCAGTTTGAGTGCCTTTACATGCCAGTAACTCAAGATACACTTGGTTTTCCTAGCAAAAGACCATCAGTAACAAGGTAAGTGCTAATTATGCCAGCCTCTATTATTTGGCTTTGTAATTTGAACACTGCAATAGGTCGCCCACAGAGGCTG